TCACTTCTGAGTAATGTTTCTTGAAAAACATTAAAATGGTTTACAATTAGTATACGATCAGATAGGGTAATATGGCCACTGTGGGTTAGTATAGCCAGTTTAGCATATTTATCAGTTTTTTGTCAAAATCTGTTAAAGTTTTAATGATGCAGTGCCCCACTCTACATACTTTTTATAGCCCAATGTTAACCTAACATTTTAATGTCTGTTACAAAAAAATTAAAGTAATAATATATTACCAATCAAATATTTGGGGGCAATTAGGCCAAAACTTTAACCAGAATTCTACGATTTACTTAAATAACTGCATATTAAAGCTCAAAGCATTCACCTTAAGGTAAGTGGGGTAAATAGGCCATATTAAAAATTGGTAAAAAAATAACTACTCCATAGAGCGAGTGGCTCTGAAAGGCTCTGAAAGCCATTGCTGCTGATATTCCAATGAAAAGAGCTCTAAGACTTACAAAATTTCCAGATCAAATCTTAGAAATTATCTATATGGTTATTATCTATATTATTTACATGGACCAAAAATATGTGGACACCTTGTTGAACTGCTATTCTTACTCGCAAACAAAGCACTTCATCAGCAGGATGAAGACCTGAGGGATCTCACTGTATTAAAACTCTTCATTAAAAGTATCCTTCACCAACAAAAATGAACTTCTCTGGGTAAGATTAGACTTACAAATTTTTGAAAAGCACCACAACCTAATTTTTGCAGAGAATTGTTCAGCACATTTTAATGAGACATGGAGCTGTAAGTGAAGAACAGGTGTTTTTTTTCTAATGTAATGAACTATGTTAAGACTAATCAGTAAAAACCTTGGCTCCAAGAAAATAATTTGCAGAAAGTCACAAGACACCCAGATAATATTATAAAGAATGAAATGCCTTTGCAATTTGTTAGAAATTTATGTTTTTTATTGTATTTGTATTGAACATTGTTTTAAAAATCTAGTTTTATGATTTAAAACATACTTCCTTTAATTTAAAAAACATGTATTGCAATGTTTTGTTGTCTTGTATCTTGTAGGAGTAATTCTTGAATAAAATCTACTAGTTTATAGCTCTTGTATTTAGCAAATTATTGAAAATATAACTGTCAAAATGTGGCCATATTACCCGATCTGATGGTATATCATAATAAATTTGTTTTCTTTTTTATATGTTTATATTTAAAATATAAAATGGAAAATAAGAATTTGAAAAATTTTAAAGTTATTAAATATATGTTATTTTCCTTAAATTTTTATAAGGGGTCTTCCATAAAGTATGTATGTGGGATGGAGTTATTTAAAAGCATACAAATGTAAAGAAAGAGTTGGGAGTGGAGGGAGTAGACAGTACAAATGCAGTTTGACTATCTCTGGTTCTTTATCGTTCTTTTTGTTTTTTTAAAAAAAGCATAGAGTTTCACAAGATTAAAAAATTCAATATTATGTTATGTAACATAAATATATTGAGTTAACAAAATTTTTTTGTTTTTATTGTTTTGAAAAATTTGAGGAGGTTGATCTTGTTATAAATAATATGTACTCTCACATGATAAATAAATAATAGGGGCGTTTATTAAGTTTGATTTTATTTAATTAATGATAACATTATTAAAAAAATGATAACATTGTTCTTCTGAATTAAAAACCTTTTTTTATAGTGTTTTAAATTTTTTAAATTTTGTGTTGCTTTGGATGATCAGTTTTTGCTTAAACTTTTGATCTTGTTAAGCCCAATACCATGTACCTACAATACCCACCACACTTAAAACATAATTTTTTAAAGATGAAGTTCAGGTTTTGGTCAGTGGTTTGAAGTTCAGGTTTTGGCTAGTAGATGTCTAAATGCTGATTTTGCTGATTCAAAGTGATGAAATCATAAGAAACCCAAACACCTTGTTTTAAGGAATAACCAAGCTATTTCAGATGTTGTGATATAGTGGCATGGTAACACCCACTTGAAGAGAACTCGCCAAACAGAGTGCAGTTTCCCATGGTTTGCTCCCTATAAGTTTTTTTAATCAGCTTAGATCCATCTTCAGAGTATGTCCAGGCCTGAGTTTTTCTTCTGGCTTGTAGTTATTTTCATTAAAACATTCAAACCAATTTGATGCTGTAGCATGCATAATAATATTTCAGGTATATATATACAAGTACATTCTATCTGTGCTAAAACTAACTTTATCCGTAGAAAGTTCAGCACAACACATATACAAACAAAGATCATGTTGTTTAATGCCTTTTTCAGTCCAATTTATGGATGTCAGTTAAGGTACCTCCTGCGAAAAGACTCATTCTATCATCTATGTGTTGCATATAATAATGCACTTTGCTTGATATTAAATAAGCCACCACTTGATATTAAGTAAGCCACCATGAAATAGTGCTAGTGAATTGTTTGTGAAGCATGGTGCTCATTCACTTAATGTTTTTGAACCTCATCATAAAAGCTTTTGTTAACTCTAACAGATTCTTGAAGTCTCCATTAATGTTTAAATGATTAAATCCTTATATCATAGTCAAAAGAGTAAAAAAAATGTAAAAAAAAGTCTCTTTCGACTACAATTTTGCTACCTCAACAATTAAGCTACATTTTATTGTCGTCAAAATGTTAAATTAATGCGGAAGTACATTAAATTTTATTGTTTTGAAAAAAACAATATATATATATATATATATATATATATATATATATATATATATATATATATATATATATATATATATATATATATATATATATATATATATATATATATATGGATATATGTATATATGGATATATGGATATATGTGTGTATATATATATATATATATATATATATATATATATATATATATATATATATATGTATAGTACACATGCATCTCTCTCTATATATGTGCATAATATTTAAATGTAGATGTAATATATTAAATGGGAAAAAAAGTGTCTAACTATTTTTGCACACACTCAATATTCATAGTAAGTATAGTTTGCAAATATTTATATTCAAAAATATGAATGGAATTACTCATTTTGTGTATGTTTAAAACTTGTAATATTTTTAATAGAATAAAATAATGTGCTCTTTAGGTTATCACTACAACCTAACTTATCAAATTAAGAAATTAACTTACTTTAAATATTTAAGAAAAATTTGTAGATGTTTTTTCCTTCTATAGTTTATCTAATTAATTTTTTTTGTTTGCATTATTTTTCTTTGCTAAGAAGGAATAACAATCTGATAAACTTTTTTTGGACTGGTGGAACTTTTCCTAGAGATACGGAAAGTAGAACGAACTTTTTCCACACTGTTTTTCATTTTTATTGTGATACCAATGAACATTTATTGTCGATGGCTCTTCAATTTGTCATTGACAACAAAAAGGGTATTGGTATAAGGGTATTTTCAGGAAGGGTATTGGTATAAGGGTATTTTCAAAAATTTTGAACAAAGAATGTGTATGTATTGTGGTGGAAATGAAAGCCAGGGATTAATTTTTTTTTTTAATTCACTTTTAAACCACAGTTAAACATAAGCTAAGAAAATTTATCTACCAAAGGTGCTAAGCTTTTTAACCAAAGGTGCTTTGTCAGTATTTCGGATTTTTTGTAAATATTAGCATATCTTTTCTTATACCTTTTTTGACTTGTTTTTATTATTGAAGTGTTAATTTATTTAAATGAAAGAACTGCAGCTGCAATTTTTTGTTTTTTATGAGAAGTCGAATTTTCATGCACTAGAACCAGTGAAATCATAGTTGAGATCAAGTACCAGGTGTGCTTTTATTGTGAATTTTAGCTTTAATTGCTTTTAGGTTTAAACAAATATTTCTGTGTTGATACATCTGGTGAACAGTTTTCATATCTAACTTGGAAGTCTTTGAAACATTAGATTCTAAATATAATTTGGCATAAAAACAGATAACAAACTTTGTGTTAAGCTTGGTCTCTTCTTTTAGAAGATTTGAGAAGATTTGCAGAACAAATTCAAGTTTAGGTAGAAGCTACATCTTCATATAGAATTCAAAAGATATCCAAAAATATGAGTATCTATATTTTTGGATATCTTTATGAACAAGCCTTTTCTGATCCCAGCATTACATGCAGTTGTTTCAAGTTTGCTATTTATTATTATAACTAATCTAAAAAAACCAAATGATCTTTTAAAATGTAAAGATATTTTATTGTAAAGATATTTAAAATTGTATTTTTAATTTGTAAAGTATATTTTATAAAATTTATTACTGTTTTGTGAGCAATAAAAATATTAACATTAAAAATATCACATCATAATTGTACTTTACATTCATACTCAAATTCTTATAAAATTAGTAATATTGTAATGATAACTTAAGGAGGATTTTATTCTATTTAAAATATTACAAGTATTAAGTATACATATGAGTAATTCTTTTCAGATTTTGAATGTATAAATTTTTAAACTATATAGTTTAAAAAATTTAAAAACAAATTTGTTTTTAAATGCATTTCTTTTTTATGTAATTTTTATATTTTTTACATTTCTATTTTTTTTTTTTTTTTTTTACCATTCTGTTTTAATCTATCTAATCTCAAATTTACTTTGTTACTTTTGGCTATAAAAAAATTTAACATTTGCAAAATACTTATTATAATACTTATTAAAATTTGCAAAATTCTTATTATAAAAACATTATTTTAGTTCTATTATTATCAATATATACAGGGGCTATTCTATTATATTTATATTTATTTATTTTTCTATTATTATATATATTATTATTCTATTCTATTTATATTTATTTATTTATTTTATCATTTTTAACCGATTTTGAAGACTTTTTTTTCTTTTTTAAAGTAAATTTTTTTTTTTTTCGCAAAAAATACCTACATACAGCAAATTTTCTTATGGCAGGCACTGGCATGGAGGGTACCGCCACCCAAATGTTTTTCCAGAATAGCCCCTGATATATTGATTACATTTAATGCAGTATTTTACGATAGGTAATAGTTGATTTCAAACTGTGTTTTAATTTTAGAATTAACTGTGCATTCAATATTTGGTGTCCAGCCTTCTTCAAAAAAGTTCTTTCCTCGTGATAATGACCTTCATCAAATGCGCCAATATTTTCTTGAATCCAGCATCACAAGAAAATTAACTTTAGTAATATATGGAATGTCTGGTGTTGGAAAAACACAACTTGCCAGAAAGTATTGTGAAACTTATCATAGCTTTTATGAAAACTACGTTTGGATAGATGCAGCATTTGGAAAGTTACAAAGTTCCATCAATGATCTTTATAATAGGTTAGGGTTTATGAAAAATTTAAAAGGTGATGAATTATCTATAAACGTAATGGTTGAAAAAGTTCACAGTTATTATAAGAAAGAAAAGACTTTGTATATTTTTGATAATGTAGACAATGAAACAGTTAAAAATTTAGAAAAATACATTTCAAAGGAACCAAACTCATTTACATTGATAACTTCACAATGGAGAACATGGTCGGACAATGTGTATCAAATGCAAATTAACAATTTTTCAAATGAAGATGCTTTTAACTACATGAAAAAAAACATCGAAACAAATGACAACGAAAAGTTAAAAGAAATAACTAAAGAACTTGGTTTTCATCCGTTTGCAATCAGTCAGGCAATATCATATATAAACAATAACTCCGTTTCATTGCAAAATTATATAGATAGATATAGATCACATCCTGTAGAGTTACTTAACAATGATGAATTTCCAACTGAAGAAGAGTCAACATCTACCTTGAATGCTATAAATTTGGTATTATTAAATTTAGAAAAAAAAAACCATATAGCGTTAAATTTATTAAACTGTTTATCCCATTGTGATGGTCAAAGTATCAGCAAACATTTTGTAATAAAAATTTCAAAAGTTATGGATATAAATGAAGAATATATAATAGGTAATGCTTTGAGATTGCTTGTCAGTTATTCCTTATTAGATCAAGTTAGCAAAAACAAATATACAATGCATGATCTGACACAGTTAACATGTAAATATTTTCAAAGTAAAAAATGCAGTTTAGAAATATTCAAAGATTATATTATAAAATATTTTATTTCAAAGTTAAAAGATGTTAAAGAACATGTTAATTATGGAAGTCATTTTGTTTCTCATTTTCTTTACATGTTTCGCACTTCCACAAAAAGAATGTCAGAAGCCTTTCATCGCATAACAAACAACCTAGCAAGTTACTTAACATGTAAAGGCTATTTTCAAGAAACAATAAAAATATTGAATGACATTAAAAAGTTTAATATAGAGAATCATGGAGAAAATGATCAAATAACTCTTGAAACAAAAAATAGTATTGGATTTTGTTTGTTCGAAATGGGAAAATACAATGAAGCTTTAGAAATTTATTATTCTGTTGACAAAATTCAAACTGAAATTTTTGGTATAAATCATCTACCAACAATGGAAACAAAAAATAATATCGGAAACTGTTTGTACAAAATGGAAAATTATAATGATGCTTTAGATGTTTATTATTCTTTTAATAAAATAGAGTCTGATGTTTTGGGTATAAATCATCCATCGACAATGCGTACAAAAAACAACATTGGACTTTGTTTATATGAAATGAAGAAATATAATGAAGCTTTAGAAATTTTTTATTCAATTGATAAATTAAAAACTGAAATTTTGGGTATCAATCATCCTTCAACCCTGCGTACAAAAAATAATATTGGACTATGTTTGTATGAAATCGGAAAATGTAGCGAAGCTTTAGAAATTTATTACTCTGTTGATAAAACACAAACTGAAATTTTGGGATTAAATCATCCATCAACAATGGTCACACAAAATAATATTGGAAACTGTTTGTACAAAATGGGAAATTATGTTGAAGCTTTAAAAATGTATTATTCTTATGATAAAATAGAAGCTGAACTTTTAGGAATTCATCATCCTTCAACAATAAAAACAAAAAATAATATTGGACTATGTTTATACAAAATAGGAAATTATAAGGATGCATTAGAAAGTTTTTACTCTGCTGATAAAATACAATTTGAGAATTTCAGAAGCAATCGTCCTTCAACAATGGCCACAAAAACACATATTGGACTCTGTTTATACAAAATGGGAAAGTATAAAGATGCTTTAGAAGTTCATCATTCTGTTGATAAAATACAAACTGAAGTTTTGGGAATTGGCCATCCATTAACAATAGATACAAAAATTAATATTGGACACTGTTTACAAGAAATGGGAAAATATAATGAAGCTTTAGAAATGTATTATTCTGTTGATAAAATTCAAATGGAAATCTTAGGATCCAACCATTTATCAACAATAAAAACTAAAAATAATATTGGTCTCTGTTTGTTCGAAATGGGAAAATATAATAAAGCTTTAGAAATTCATCATTTTATTGATAAAATTCAAACTGAGGTTTTAGATATCAGTCATACATCAAAAATGGCTACAAAAAATAATATTGGACTCTGTTTGCGTGAAATGGGAAAATATAAAGAAGCTTTAGAAATTCATTGTTCTGTTGATAAAATTCAGACCAGTATTTATGGTATCAATCATCCGTTAACAATGAACACAAAAAATAAAGTTGGGCTCTGTTTGTTTGAATTAGGAAAATTTAAAGAAGCTTTAAAAATTTACTATTCTTTTGATGAAATACAAACTGACGTTTTGGGAATCCGCCATCCATCAACGATAGATACAAAAAACAATATTGGACTCTGCTTACAAGAAATGGGAAAATTTAATGAAGCTTTAGAAATGTATTATTCTGTTGATAAAGAGAATAGTGAAAGTGTTGGAATCAATTATCATCAATCATCGATGATCAATCGTCAATCAACAATGAACACTAAAAGTAATATCGCAAACTGTTTGTGCAAAATGGGAAAATACAAAGAAGCTTTAGAAATTTACAATTTTATTGAAAAAATGGAAACTGATAATTTAGGAGTCTATCATCCGACCACAATGGCTACCAAAAATAATATTGGACACTGTTTATGCGAAATGGGAAAACATGAAGAAGCCCTAGAGTTATATAATTCTGTTGATAAAGTACAAACTGAAGTTTTAGGAATTGATCATCCGTCAAGAATTAACACAAAAAACAATATCGGACAATGTTTTTACCAAATGGGAAACTATACAAAAGCATTAAAAGTTTATTATTATGTTAATAAATTGCAAACTGAAATTTTAGGAATTAATCATCCGTCAACAATGAACACGAGACACAAAATTGGGTGCTGTTTTTACAAAATGGGAAGTTATAAAAAAGCTTTAAAAGTTTATTCTTTCGTTGATGAAATAAAAACTGAAATATTAGGTATTGATCATCCATCAACAGTAGACACTAAAAACAATATTGGATTATGTATGACCAAGATGGGAAAATATAACGATGCTTTTGAAATTTATAGTTTTGTTGTCAAAATACGAACTGAAACTTTAGGAATTATTCACCCGATAACAATAAACACCAAAAGTCATATCGGACTTTGTTTGTACAAAATGGAAAGATATAACGAGGCTTTAGAAATTTACAATTCCTATCAAATATCGGCATCTGAAAGTTTAGGAATTAACCATCCTGTAACAATGGCCACAAAAAATAGTATCGGATTATGTTTGTACGAAATAGGAAAATATAAAGAAGCTTTAGAAGTTTATTATTTTGTTGATAAAATACAAACTAAAGTTTTAGGAATCGATCATACATCAACATTAAATACAAAAATCAATATAGGACTCTGTTTGTACGATATGGGAAAATATAAAAAAGCATTACAAATTTATTACTCTGTTGATAAAATACAAACTGAAGTTTTCGGAAACAATCATTCATTAACAATGGCAACGAAGAAAAAAATTGGACTATGTTTTTACGAAATGGGAAAGTATAAAAAAGCTTTAGAAATTTTTTATTCTTTTATTAAAACACAAACTGTAGTTTTAGGAAAGTGCCATCCATCAATAATAGACACGAATCGTTACATTGAAACAATTTTACACTTGCAAAAACGAAGAAAAAAACGTAAAAAGGGTTGTAATATTACTTAGATGAGGAAAGATCGATTTTTTTTAAAAATAACTTGTTTTAATACCAATGTTACACAGTTTTGCAATTTTTTTTTTTTCATTTTTTTTTTTATTGTTTTTTTTTTCATAATATTCTATGCTATAGCTTGGTTTCCAATAGTAACTATTGGAAAAGCAGTTAGGCATTTTGTTGTACAACAATTGTTGCTGAAATTGATTTGATTCTATTTCCAAAACCTTTGTACAACCGACGTTAAATTTCCATTATAAAATATTGTTGTACAACTTTGGTACGACATTTCTACAACTATAATAGTTGTAGAAATGTCGATAAAATAACTTTTATGTTTCTTTATAGATAATTATGAGAAAAAAGGAAAAGCAAGTAATAAATGTTCCAAATAATGTTTTTTATTTTTGCAACTTGGTTTTTATTATTTTTATTAAAACTTTGTAACAATGTAATATTTTATTAAAGATTATAGCTTTTTATATACCTTTGTTATTATTTTATGTATACACTCATGTACATGTGTGTATATATGATTCCATGCGCGCTAGGGGTGTTCATATTTTACAAAACAATTTTTTGTAATATGTATGCAAGCTAAAAAGATGAGTGATTTCAAGAAATAATTTAATTAAAAAAAAAAAATTTCGCCTTGTTACAACCAACCAAAGTTTTTAGAAATTTGTTTTTTCAAAATCACTTTGTTACAACTAGGGTTGTTCGCCGTAAACAAAAACTTAAGAAAATTTCGCATTTTTATCCGTATTTCAAATTGCTATTGCGGAAGTTGTACATGCGCAAATTCACCTTCCGTAATGCATCGTACGAAAAAAATAATTAATTCCGTAATAACTCTGCGAAAAAAAAGTTGCGAATCAAATCATTTCAGAAGGATACTTGCAAAACAGTTCTTTACGGAAGGAGCGTTTCGGAATATGCGCTTAAGGAAAAGACTCAAAAGCATTCATTAAACTGTTATACAAAAAAAATATTATTTAATATTTAAATAATAATAATAATTTGAGATTAAAGTGCCATTAATACTCTTAATACGGGTAATCAGTAGGCTGTGATCGATTGTATCAAATGCTGAAGATATGTCCAGAGGTAGGAGAATAGTGGTCAAACCATCATTAATGTTTAGCAGGATATTATTGCATATCTTTAAGAGTGTTGTTTCGGTTGAGTGATAAGATCTAAAACCAGATTGTAGAGGATTAAAGTTGACAGATGTTACGTGTGGATGAAGACGAGATAAACTTTTGATTATTTTTGACACATCTGTAGGTGTGACTGTACCAAATGTTGTTAAAATATCTACAGGGGGAGATTACTCTGAGATGAATTTAGATATTGGGGTTTTTGCAAGCCATTTTTAGACATTGCAATTTTAGACATTAGACAAATTTAGACATTTTAGACATTGCATTCAGTATTGCAAGTCATTGTTAGACATTCAAATCACTCCGGCTTCTGTTGCTAAAGTCATATCTCAATTAAACTCATCTACAGCTTGTGGTCCAGACAACATTCCTGTCACAGTCTTGCAGAATTGTTCTCCAGAACTTTCTTCAATTCTCTCTAAACTATTTAACAAGTGTTTGACTGAGTCTTGTTTTCCTGCTTGTTGGAAAATGGTTCTGTGGTTCCAATATTCAAAAACTCTGGAGAAAATTCTGACCCCTCCAATTATCGTCCGATCAGTCTTCTTTCTGTTATTAGCAAGGTCTTTGAGTCTTTGATCAACAAATTCCTCACATCTCATCTTGAGTCAAATAAACTGCTGTCAGACAATCAATACGGTTTTCGATCCTCTCGCTCTACAGCCGACTTGCTAACTGCTGTAACTGAAAGATTTTATCGTGCATTAGATGGAGGCGGTGAGGCTAGGGCTATTGCTCTCGACATATCTAAAGCTTTCGACAAAGTTTGGCATGCTGGTCTTCTCCATAAGCTTACTTCATATGGTGTTTCTGGGAAAGTTTTTGAGATTATCAAATCATTTCTTTCTGACCGGTTTATTAAAGTCATCCTTGAAGGCCAACACTCTTCTTTATTTCCAGTAACTTCTGGGGTTCCCCAAGGTTCCATCCTGGGCCCTGTTTTGTTTCTTATCTACATAAACGATCTTCCTGACAACCTTTCATCTAAAGTAGCTCTTTTTGCTGATGACTCTACTTTATACTCCTGTCTTGACAAAAAGTCTTCTTTTTTCGATCGCCTAGAACAAGCAGCTGGTCTTGAATCTGATCTCACTTCAGTAATAGATTGGGGTTCACTGTGGCTTGTGAATTTCAACTCTAAAAAAACCCAATTGCTTACTGCAAACAACTACCGTAATATGGTCAACATTCCTATATTAATGAATGGCAATCCTCTTACTGAGTCGTCCTCTCTACGTCTTCTTGGATTATCGCTTACTACTGACCTTTCATGGAAACCATATATACAATCGATTGCTAAATTAGCTTCTGCTAAGGTTGCTTCTCTTTATCGTGCTCGCCATTTCCTTACTTCTGATTCCATTCTCTACCTCTACAAATCTCTTATTCGTCCCTGTATGGATTACTGTTGTCATATTTGGGCTGGTTCTTCTAACGATTCACTTTCTCTTCTTGACAAGGTCCAAAAACGCATTGTAAATGTTGTTGGACCTGGACTATCTGCTAAGCTTGAACCTCTTTCCCATCGTCGTAAAATTGCATCTCTTTCTCTTTTCTACAAATACTATCATGGTCACTGCTCAAAGGAGTTATCATCTCTAGTTCCATCAACTAAAATTCATTCTCGTTTTACTCGTCATTCAGCTAAGTCTCATTCGTTTACTGTATCTGTCCCTGCATGCTCTAAAAACTTTTATTCATCTAGTTTTTTTCCCCGCACTTCAATCCTTTGGAACTCTCTCCCATCTTCATGTTTTCCTGACTCCTACAACCTTCAACTTTTCAAGTCTTCTGTCAACCGTTTCCTTGCTCTATAACTCTGTTCTTTTTTTTTCCTAGTAACTCCCAACTTAATAGTGGTTGCTTGCAGCCTTGTTGGGAGTGAATGCAAATAAAAAAAAAAAAAGCCTTTCTTGAATAGCGTTCTTTATAATTTCGAGTTTGCGTATGAAATACTGACTTATTATATCGTATTTTATTATTGTGTTATATCGCATTTTGCTTCTGTTATTGTGTTATTAGTTTAAGAACTATTCGAATGTTTAAGAAGTTTCTTGGCAATGTTGCATGTTTCTTTTTGATCACCGTATGCTGAATTTAGTTTTACCTTATAATGGCTACATCTGGATTTGTGAAATGCTGCTGCTGCCTCACGGCATGCAGTTCGATATAATTTTTTTATCTGATAAACTACTAGTTTTTCTATAACAACGCTCCAGTTTACGGTCTAATTTTTTTATTCTTGGCATCTGAAGATAACCATTTATCACCATGCTTACCAAGTCGAATTGAATATTTTTGAATGAGTGCTAAATGATCAACATCTCCTCCACGATGGTCTGATTGGCAGTATTGATTTTTTTTAAAGCCTGGTGGGGCCATATCTTCTTTAATTGCAGTTGGGTCATCTGACTTTATCCAAGTTTCAGTGAGTATAAAAATATCTAGAGAATGATTTTGCACTATATCATGAATGATAGCAGATTTTTTTATGGCAGATTGAACATTTTGAATACCCAAGTTTAATGCAGACGTTCTTTTAATTTTTATATGTAAATTATGCTGATTTAATTTCGATCCATTTAAGTTCACCTGATCGTATACCCCAATAATATTTTTTTCCATTGTTCACATTGTATCGTTGCCTCCCATTTGTTTCCTCAACCTCTTGAGCAAGTTCTGCATTTCTAGTATTTCTAACTTTTCTGAGTTCACTTTCGCACAATCTCTCGTTTGCTGTTTTGTCTTTATTAATAAAAATATTTTTGAAGTTATTATTGTCCTTTTTGGTATTTTGAATCATAAAACTTTGAATTTTTTTGTTCTCCAATTTAACTAAGATGAGGTCAGGTGGCCCTTCTGGTCTTTTAGCATATTTAGTTAGTCCAATTATTGTTATTTAGAAATCTGGTTTAATTGATTTTAGGATAGTTTCAATGGTTTGTTTATCATTTTCTTCATTAATTTGTTTGTCTAAAGTAGTATGATCAGCAAATCCACTCATAACGATGTTGTTTTCAATTCTTTTTTTATTATTAACAGTGGCGTAGCTAGGATTTTTGGGCCCTGAGACAAAAACCAGTGCAAGGGCCCCCCAACTAAAATATTACCAAAATAATTTTACATTAATAATACAAAAATTTTGCTTCAAAAAATATATTTATAAAATACTAAATGAAATGTAAACTTTTTTTTTTTTTTATTTTGATTCACCTCCTCAAGGCCGAGAAGGCCACTACAGACGAGGAGGCTACTTATTTGTGGCTATAACCCTCTCTCAACTCTATAACTCCGAAACGCGAACCTTGACGAACAGGGCCGCTGCGCGGAGAAACGAGTTGAGCGCGGTACTACCAGGGACGTGGTGGGGATCGAACTCGGAACCACTCATTTATGAAGCGAGCGCTCTACCACTACACCACTACCGCATAAACTTCAGTAAATAAAAAGAGAAAAGGTATACCATATGCAATATTAAATATAAAACATTTTATAACCAACTCTCAAACGAAGAAATAATGAATCTCACATGTTTTAATTATTTAAAATTTGTCCTTCTAGCTTTTGCATTTGCAAAACTGCATATTAATTCTTTAAGTTCCATTTGTGCTGCTTCTTTGTGTTCAATAGCTAGTAACGCTAGTTCTTTTAACCTACTCTGACCAATAGAATTTCTTTTATAGTCCTTTATTATTTTTAATTTGCTAAAAGATCTTTCAACGCTAGCCACAGTTACTAGTAGGGTAAAGAACAACATTAGAACTGTATATATTTCTGAAAACTCACTTTCTAAGCAACTGTACTTAGTAAGGAGTAAATCTGAAAATTGCTTAATCGACATTTTTAAAGTTAAGTCTGTTTTCAACAATGAAACTGCTTGCAGAAATTGATTACCAAAATGAGGAGAGATAACTTTCGAATATTTTTTGGAAACATTTTCACACATTTCTAAGATATCTGTATCAGGCAAATTTATTATGTTTTTAGGTTCTAAGAAGCAAAAAAGGTTTTTCACGGTTTGCATTCCCAAAAAACGTTGTTCAATTTGTACGCTGATTTTGTCCAATACAAAATAAAAAACATTCATTTTAAACAATTGCTCTCTGTTCTGAAACCGATGATCTGAAGCCAATTCATCAAAATGTCGCTTTTTCACTGGTTGCCTTTTTGATTGAAAATTAGTTTCGATGTCCCACTTTCGTGCCAGTTCTTCTGCTTCTAACTTGATTTGTTCATATGAATTTCTAATGTAATTTAACTTTTCACGAACGTGTTTTAAAACTTCAGTAGTTTCCTCCAAGTCTATTTCTTGTTTTTGTAAAGTTTTTGAAGCATAATTAACCTCGCACATTACCTTAAATAAAAAAACACAGATAAAAACAAAATCGAATGTCCCCATTTTTTTCTTTCTTTGAAGTGCTTCTTCTCTTTCTTTTTTTTTGGTCGAATTAGGGATTATTTCAGTCAAAGCCTTTAAAATATCCATAAATCGAACTTTTACAGCTGTTAATGATTGTAGTCTACCAGACCATCGAGTTGGATTTAGTTTTTTCAATGTAACTTCAGACTCCCCAGTAAATATAGAGAGGAGGTCCCATCTTTTTATGCTATTTCCAAAAAATAAATAAATACTTTGAAGAGTAGCATAAAACGATAAGATATCATGCCAACCATTTACGCAGTCATTAATTACCAAATTTAAATTAATACTGTTACAGTGTACATACTCAGCATTTGGTTGGATTTGTTTAATCCTGGTTTGTACACCACTGTAAACTCCACTCATAACGTTAGCACCATCGTAACCCTGCCCATAACACTTTTCAATTGGAATATGTGCTTCTTTCAATAACGTCAATACTTGATTAGTCATTCCCTCTGCTGAATGGTCCTTCAATTCATAAAATCCTAAAAATGTTTCCTTAATTTTAAAATGAGTTGGTTCTTGATTTACATTTCTAACAATGTGAACATGCCGTATTATAACACTTAATTGGTCTCTCTTGGTAATGTCTTGTGTTGTGTCTAACATTAGGGCATAAAATGGTGATGAATTAATATTTGCAATCAAGTCATTCAATAACTTTTTTCCCAGGCAATGTATTAGTTCATTCTGTGTAGTCGGACTTAAGTATCGGATTGAAGCTTTTTTATCGATGGTTTTATTTTTCTTCCATAATTCGAGCACCGCACAGGCTTCAATAAGATGTTGGGATAAACTGTGCATTTTTATCTTTTGTGATAAATTTTTCCAATCCTTTATCCCCGATTGCCATTGACTTTTGATGCTTGAAAAATGCCAACAAAGTTGACAGTATACTGCGTCCAACATACTTGAATAACAAATCCATAATCGTGGAACTGGGCCATAGTTTGATGTAGAATAATAGTAAGTTTCACTGAAACGTCTGTTCTGTTGACTAGGACCTTTGGGAAATGGTCCTTTAGGTCTGTGACCAGGAATGCTTATCAGTAATCTTTTGGTTTCATCAGAAATGTTCTGATTTAAATATTTTCCTTGGTCACTACATATAGGGGTATTTGTATAAATTATATTTTTTTCATTAATACCTGTTAAAACTTCCTGAGCATCTTCAGTGTCAACTATTTCATCTGAAATTTTTTTAATTTCTCCATCGTTACAGTCTGCTTTAGTTTACAAGCAATCACTTCTGTATAACCTTTCTCTAAAATATTAACTCATCATAACATTCACATTCGATCGATGCATCATCTGGAGTACTCTCTTGGTTATTATTATTATTTTTAATAATAAACTTGTCTAGCTTTGGTAATTTATTTAATGCTTCTTCTTTCTGTTTTTTAAGTTTTCTTTTTTGAAACCCACTTTTACTCTTTAATAGTTCCATGTTTTTTTATAACATGGAAATGATCAGGATAAATTGTACAATTTTAAACTCCCTAAACAGAAAGCACTATATGGTTATTGCAATGCTTCAGATAATCTAAAGAAGAAAAACGGAAAACGTAAATTTCTTAAGAGAAAGGGAGATATAAAAGAAAAGAAACAATGAATAGAAATTTTCTATTTTGTATTTTTCTATTAGAAAAATACAATGGATATTTAAAAAATGTTAAAAACCTCAGCAACTGTTACGAATACATATTTTTGACGCTACACGTGCATGTTAATGTTAAGGTTGGTTTCCATATAGTCGCTCGACAGTCGTGCGACAACTGTCGCGCAACAACATTTTCAATGTTTGTCGCACGACTAGGTGTTTCCATTTATTTTAGAAGCGTTTTCAAAACAAATATTTTTTTATCACTTCCGTGATGCCAAGAAAATATTTTTAAAAAAAACATTTGAAAATGAATGGAACTTTCCTAACTGTATTGGAGCCATTGATGGTAAACATGTATGTATAGAAGCTCCTAGTTTGAGTGGATTAGCATATTACAACTATAAAAACTTTAATGGTTTTGCTAGCCATATGTGATGCAAAATAGTTTTACTTTGGTTGATATAGGTAGCTATGGCAGAGATAACGATGCTTCAATATTCAATGAAAGTAAAATGGGTAAAGCTTTCAAAAACAACTTATTCAAACTTCCTAAAAACCGAATGCTATCAAATGGCACACAAGTACCACCAGTTCTGGTTGGTGATGATATTTTTGCACTGAAATCATGGTTAATGAAGCCTTTTTCTGGTAAAAATTTGACAATCAAAGAACGTATTTTTAACTATCGATTATCTAGGACTAGACGAACAATTGAAAACACATTTGGAATTATGGTAGCTAAATGGAGAGTATTTAGGCGTCCAATAAAAGCTAACCCAGAAAATATTGAAAACATTATAAAAGCTGCAATTTGTTTACATAATTATTTAAGGATCAATAATGGCATTAACTATGTACCATCTGGATTTGTTGATTTTGAAACAAATTTTGGTAAAGTTATTCCTGAAGACTGGCGCAAAATAACAGTTGAAGGTAATGCTTTACATATTTTACCTCGGTGTATAAGCGATCGATACACAACAGATGCGAACACTCTAAGATTAACGCTAACAGAGTATTTTAATCATCCAAGTGGATCCATGTCGGCAACATGACTATGTAACTAGTTGTGGACACGATCTTGCAGGAAATAGAATATTTTTAAAACAATGAAAAAAATAATCTTATAACTGTATTATTATATAATATTGTAGAATGGTTTAAACTATGTGTAACAGAATATTAAATTTCTTAAATATATGTTCAAAAACAAACAAACAAATTTTATATCAGTAAACAATATCTGGAAATTCTAGAGCAGCTAAATATTGCTGTATGTTTATTTTAGCAACTGCTTGAGTTTTAGGAGGTAGTGTTTTGATTGTAGCACAAATAGATTTACAAAAATGTATTATATTCTCGTTTTCTTCATGTGTACTAACTGCTAGTGTTGCATTAATATTGTTCATCGTACTAATTATTGCATATTGTATTTTTGAATTTTCATCAGGTAGAGATCTTTTCAATGTTTTTTTTCTTATATTTATAGGAGATTTTATTTCACTTAATGCTTTTCGTTGATTACTGAATGTATTTGAGTTACTTGTATTTTCGCTTAAATTTTCATTTTCTAATTCTACTTTATTACTAACATCTTCGTCATAGTTCATACTATCGTTACTATCTATACAAGTCAAAGGCGATTCTGTTGTTAATTCTGTGGTTGTTGCTTTACTTTCAACATTAGTTGTTGTGTCTCTATGGTCAATGTAATTATTTAACCACTGCAAAAAATCGTACTCTTTACTGATAATTCGTCCTGAGCCCGAAGGTACACTCTTTTTTTTCCTTAAAAAGAGTTCATAAGCCGATCTTATATTTTTGTATTTTGATTTACATTCCTGGTCAGTTAAACCAAACAAAACGCCAATGGCTGCCCAAGCATTTTTTTCATAATATTGTTTTTAAATTCAGCATTGAATTTGTCGTAAAGCACAGGATACTTCTGCACTTCCTGCATAAAGCTTTCTTTGCTAAATTCTTCGATAAGTCTTTCTTGTTCAGGTTGCAATACAATTTTAACATAAAAGCTCACCCATAGGTGAGCTTTTATGTTAAAATTGTTTCCAGGGGAAAGATCCGGGTAAAGGACGCATTGTACATACCGCGTTTTTGCTACGAATTCTTGCGAGTAATATTTCACTACCTCCTAAATTTTTTTTTTTTTTTTCTGTTTACATTTGCCGTAAAATAAATACTCTATTTTACAAAAACAAAGAAAACAAGGCTTCTGAAAGAAGATCTACTGATCTTATCATCAGAACCTTTGCAATTTTATCATACCATAAAAACTGAAAATATAAATCAAAAACGGCCGTAATAATAAATATATAATAATAAATTCATAATATTAATCACGTATCTGTAATAATAGTTCTCACAAATCTGTTATAATAATCCATAATAATAAATTTTATAGATCTGATATAAATTAAAGAAAATAAATTTATTAATATAAATATTATTATAAATCTCATAAATCAAGTTTATGCTTCAAGCTAATAGTAACTTACAGGGTTATTCAATCTTATATGCGCGTCTATTCATTTTTATATGCGCCTTTATTCATTCTTATATGCGCATTTATTCATTTTTATATGCGCCTTTATTCATTCTTATATGCGCAATTTATTCATTTTTATATGCGCCTTTATTCATTTTTATATGCGCATTTATTCATTTTTATATGCGCCTTTATTCATTCTTATATGCGCATTTATTCATTCTTATATGCGCATTTATTCATTTTTATGTGGTTTACAAAAGCAATTGTAAAAAAGCAATTAGAACCAAAAAAAATCATTTAATAAAATCATTGATAAAACAGTTTATTATTTCAAAACAAATTTTTCTTATTTCCTGGTAAACGAGTTTAAAAATACTTATAAGACGAAGACTTTTTATATTCAATGATGGTTTATTTAACTTAGTATTAGTTTTTAGTTTAATTTTATTACATTATATTAAATTGTATTATTGTATTAAATTTCTTGATTGATTAAGTTGTTTTTTAGCTAGTTATTTATTTTTCTAGATTTATTATTTAATTATTTAAAATTATTAATATCAAATTTTTACCCTATGGATGGAATGGAAAATAATCGTAAAACAAGGGAAAATGTTACAAAAGAGCACATTGAAATGCTTAAACATTTAGTTGAAAGAAATCAATCCACAACAAGCATTTCCACTTCTCTTAATTTATCGAAGCGCACAGTTCAAAATCTTGTCGTTAAGTTAAACAGAGGAGAATTCGACGACATGACTGCATTCAAGTCGTCTTCTGATAAAAAAGGTGAAAGACCTATAAACGCTCAAATAAAAAATATTATCGAATTATGCGTACAAGAAAACAATCTTTGCACGCAAGAAACAATAAAAGAAAATCTTTCTGCAGCAGGCTTCAACATGTCTCAGCCTACTATTTCAAGAAAACTCAAACGCTCGGATTTATCAAAAAAACGTGTTGTGCATGTGCCAGAAGAACGAAATTCAACACGAATTATTAATGCACGCTATGCATTTGCAAGCGAAATTAACGGAATTTCAGATGAAAAACTTATTTATTTGGATGAAACTGGATTTAATGTGCACACTAACAGCACATATGGTTATTCGCTAAGAGGTGCGCCAGCAATTTTACATTCGCCTGCAAATCGTGGCAAGAATGTTAGTTTAATTTGTGCTGTTTCAACAATGGGAGTGCTTGCTTATGAAACAAAAACTGGAGGCTGGAATGCAGATTCATTTTGTACTTTCATAACTACAATGATGGCACCAGCGATTAGGAATGCAAATGTGGAAGCGCCGGTGCTTGTTATGGACAATTGTAAATTCCACTGGAGTCTTTCTGTTAGGCAAACACTAGCCTCTCATGGTATAGCTATTAAGTATCTGCTAGCTTACACACCACAGCTTAATCCAATAGAAGAATTTTTTTCTTCTTTAAAACATACTTACAAACAGGGAGAAAGGCCTCGAAATACGGATGAGGTAATCAGGAAACTTAAAAATATTATAGATACTACAGAGTTTAATATAGTTCCATTTTACAACCATATGCGTAATTATATAAATCAAGCACTGGCTCGGCAACCATTTCTTAAATAAATAACAATGAAAACAACCTAATTTATATTTTAAATATGTCTAGATAAAAATTTAAAAGCGTATTTATCGTGTGTATTAGATTATATTAGAGATTTTATGGGTGGTTGACGCATATACAAACATAGGGATGTATAATTTGATATTAATAATAATTATAAATAAGTAAATTTAAATCGAGATAAATGAATAATTAGGTAAAATATAACTTAATCAATCAAGAAATTTAATAATAAAATTACAAAGAACTAATACTAAATTAAATAAACCATCGTCGAATTTATAAAGTCTCCGTTTTAAGTATTTTTAACCTCGTTTACCTGGAAATAAGAAAAGTTTGTTTTGAAAAAATAAACTATTTTTTCAAAACAAATTGCTCAAATGATTTTTTTTGTTCAAATTGCTTTTTTACAATTGCTTTTGTAAAACGCATATAAGAATGAATATAGGCGCATATAAAAATGAATAAAGGCGCATATAAAAATGAATAAATGCGCATATAAAAATGAATAAAGGCGCATATAAAAATGAATAAATGCGCATATAAGAATGAATAAAGGCGCATATAAAAATGAATAGACGCGCATATAAGAATGAATAACCCTGTAAAATGTCATCCATTGCAAGAATGAATTTTTTTAATTCATTTTTAAAAACAGAAAAACGGATAAAAGGATCAAAATTAGGCAGAACTATTTTATTCCAAAGGTAAGGTGCTCTATAATTAATACAAAATTTATTAAAATTTGTTCTACAAAATGGTTCATTTAGCAAATCTTTATTTCTTAGTGAGTACTTATTAGTAAGTTTTAATGTAAAAAGGTCGTTAAAAACAGGTAGGGATAAATTGTTTTTCCACATATAAGTAAAACATAAAACATTGAAAACATTAAGTTTGTAGACATTAAGTATTTTCATTTCATCAAACAAAAGGCTTTGAATGTGTAGAGCGATCCACATAATTAATCTCGCGAATCGCATGTTTCTGTTGGCGATATAGACGTTGTAGTTTACTTTTTTCGGTACTACCCCATGCAATATTTGCGTAGTTTATATAGCTGTGTATGAATGAGTAATAGAGCTGCGTAAAGCTTTTTTTGCTTAAGTAAGGTCGGG